AGTATTGCATAGTACAATCAGCAGAAACTATAGTAGTGTGTAAAGAAGAAGGTATATTGTATAAAAAAAGACATTGAGGCTCTATAAACAAGATGTACACAACTATACAGAAAAAGATGGGTTGTAAGTCCAAATGGCAGGTCCTAAATCCAAATAATCATTAAACAGGTCATTAAATGAGAAATGTCTGCATTATTTCCACTACTACTTACTAAAAAATGTGAAAAGTCAAAGCCTACTGTCTTCACAGGCAAATGTTACCAGACATTTAAAAATTAATAGCAATTCTTTATAAACTCTTCCCCAAAATAGAAGAAGAAATACTTCCCAACTTACTGCATGAGGCCAATATCAAATATCAAAGCCAAACACAAACATCAAAACTACGGACCAGTGTCTCCCAGGAGTATAAATACAGAAATCCTCAACACATTATATAAAACAGAATCCAGCAATAAATAAGATTGTACACCATGGCCAAGAGAGATTTATCCCAGATTTGCAAGGTTAGTTTAACAACTGATAATGCATCAATTTAATACAGTGTATCAGCAGAAGACAAAAACCTATTTAATCCTGTCTTGAAAAAATTAGCATTCCTTTGTGATTAAAAAAACTACATTGTAGAAGGGAATTTTACTTGACAAAGGCTTCCGTGAAACACCAGTGAACATAAAACTTAATTGTGACAGACTGACTACTTCCCCCCTACAATTAGGAAGAGGGAAAGAATACTTACCTTTATCTGTTCAACATGGCAGGCCAGAAAAGGTCCCAAAAAGCCTTTAATTGGAAAAGAAGAAGAAAAAAATCTAAGATGACACAATAAACAAATTCAGCAAAGGTGCAAGATATGAGGACCACATACTGAATCAACTAAATTTCTCTGCACTTGCAGTGAACAATCTGAAAATGAAATTAAGACAACAATTCCATTTACTTTAGAATCAAAAAGAATGAAATGAAAGAAGTATAAAACAACATTGAAACAATTTAAATAAATGGGAAGACATTCTATCCTTATGGACAGAAAGGCATCCTATCTTTATGAATTGAAAGACATTATTTTTTAGGATGACAGTAATCCCTAAATTAATTTGTAGCTTTAAATACAACCTTTCTCAAAAGTTCAACTTATATTTGTGAATAAAGTAACAGGATGATCCTAAATTTCATATGGAAAATCAAAGGCCTACAATAACTAAAATGGTTTGAAAAGGAAGAATAAAGATTCACACTTCCTGATTTCAAAATTTACTGCAAACCTATAGTAATGAGGAAGTGTGACACTGATATAAGAATAACCTTGTAGATCAACATGGATCAGTGGGATAGAATTAAGAATCCAGAAATCCTCACATCTACCATGAACTGATTTTTCTTTACAAGAAGGACAATGAAGAAAGAACAGGCTTTTCAACCAGTGATGCTAGAACAACTGAATAGTTACGTGCAAAAATACAGTACTTCACAATAAACAAAAATTAACTCAAAATGGATCAGACTTAAGGGTCAGAGCTGAAACTGTCAAAGTCTTAGAAGAAAAATTGAAATAAAATTTTGTGACATTGGTTTTAGTATTGAATTCTTTGATATGATGCCAAAAGCACAAGCAGCTAACAAAAAGGTAGAAAAATGGGAATGTCTAAGGTGTGGTAGGTGATGAAAATGTTATACAGTTGATTATGGTGATGATTGCACAACTCTGAGCAAACTAAGAACCATTGAATTTTATACTTCAAGTGGGTAAATTTCACGGTATGAGAATTATCTCAAGTAAAAAGGAAAGAAAACTAAAATAGACACAGCCACACAAAGCATTTTAATAGGCCCTTCAGAACAGAAGATATAGAAATATTTGATGTCGTATAAAGATACTAAACATCCTTGTTATTCAGGAAAGTGGCAAATAAAACCATAGTGAGATACACTGCGTGCCAAACATAACAACAGAATTATGAAGGCATAGTACTAAGTGCTTTCCTTATAGAGGGTCCCTCCTGTTAACTTCTCATGACTTTGCCATTGGTTATAGCATGTACCTCATGATGATACTCTGGTGTTACATCTTGTTGGCAACCTTGATGACCTTTTTACCCATATTATATCTTGGATGACTGTTAGATTTCACTCATTGTTTATCTTGCAAAATATATAGCATTAATCTTTAAGAAAAAAACACTGTGCCTGTCAAGTTTTGATCTTGGACTGGCAGGCTGTCTATTCCAAAAGTAGCAAACAGGTTGCAATATTATTGTAGGATTATCTCTTTAGATTTGTAGTTACTTTTCCTCAGTCTTTCCATAAATGGAAAATAAACGACTTTCTATGTACCACGCAACAATATTCCACATATAGTTATTGAAGATCAGAGAGACTTCATTTGCTGTAGGCAGGACAGCAGTGGAGTTGTTAGCTGAAGTCTGTGGAGTTAGCTGAAGTCTATGGAGTTAGCTGAAGTCAGTGGAGTTGTTAGCTGAAGAACAAAGCCCTGTTCTTTTGACTATATCACGTCACCTCTGGATGGAAGTATATTGATTGTTTTTTACAGTGGCTGTCCTTTTGAGTTTCAGTGATTTTTTTTTTTCAGAGAACCTCTATAACATGCAACATAAAAAAAATTTGTTTTTAATTAGCCAGGCATCATAGCATATGCCTACAATCCCAGCACTCAGGAGGCTGAGGCAGGAGGATTGTGAGTTTGAGATCAGCTTGGACTATAAAGTGAGAACCTGTCTCAAAAACCAAAAATAATAACAGTTAATTTGTATTAAACTATTAGTTAACAGTAATTACTAGTACTTACTGCCTGTAGGCACTATGTTGGATGTGTTATAATGAAATGTTGGTCCTGACTTAAATTCATTTGAGCAGAAAAGGCAAGTAGGCAAATAAACATTTGCAGTACAGCTAGAAAATTGTAATGGTGGAAGTCTTTAATAAGTACAATGATAAGCACATGAAGATGTGATCATTTCGGCTGGAGGGGCCATGGAAGGTGAGACAATCGAACATTGAAAGGCTTTGAAGGAGTTTGTCAGTTGATGGGTGCTTATTTCTGTGCTGTGAATGTCTAAACTTGACAGTCATAAAGTGTTTTTTTCTTAAAGATTAGTGCTATATATTTTGCAACCACTTGTTCATAAATAATAGTATTAGCTGTAAACTACTTAGAAGTAGAAAAAGTCATTGTTAGCTTACAGGAATGCTGTGTTCTTTTACACCTTTTAATAATTAGCTTTGTGCTTAGATATAATTAAAACTCCCTAACAAAATACCAAAGCCTTAGAAGGGAAATGTTTTTTGCTATCCTGTTTCTCAAACTACACTGCAAACAAGTAGCTATTAGAGTTCATTAATTCTGTTTCATCAGGGTTTTGGAATGTAAATTTAAGTGGCCAGTGTAAAACATAAATTTGTGAGTTTATGGAGTTCGTTGTGTTCTTGTATGAAATTGCAGTAAACTTGGTGAGTGAATGTTTGGAATACTTGCATTTTCTGTCTTAGTTTGTTTGAGTCACTTTCCTTTTGCTGGAACAAAATACCAAACACCTGCAACTTACAGGAGAGGTTTATTTTGGCTCATGGTTTCCGTCCTTGATGGGCTGGATCCAAGGCAGAAATAGGATGGCAGAAGGGTATCTTGGAGGAAAAAGTACTCAGCCCCTCCATCCTGGAAACAGAGGAAAGAGAGGTGCCAAGGATAAGAATCCACCCTTCCAGGTCGTATCCCAGTGATCCCACCTGTGACCAGGCCCACCACTTACCAGCGCCCCGTGATCCAGTCACCTTCCAAGCACATGAGACTTTTGGGGGACATTTTAGATTTAAACTATTAAATCATAACATTTCAGATTTTTTCAGGAGAAAAATTTTAATCTATAGTTGTAACTTTTCTAGATGTGAATTATGTCTCACACATAAAGGTATGTAATGTAATAGTGGTTAGTCTCTGAAACTTTTTTTGCAAAACGCTTATTATTCTGTATGATTTTAAATAATTTCTAATATTTGTTTCTACAGTTGTCTCCCTAAAAAATGAGCGTTCAGTTGTCAGTTTTTCCATAAATGTCTTATTAGAGCTAATTGTCAATATAATTGGTTTCTTTCCTCTTTTTTTTTCCCTCAGTGCTGGGGATTGAACTCAGGGGTTCTCTATTACTGAGCTACATCCTCAGCCCTTTTTGTTTATTTTGAGTCTCTCTGAGTTGCTCATGCTGGCCTCAAACTTGTGAGCCTTCTGCCTCAGTCTCGAAATAGTTGGGATTACAGGCATGTGCTCAACTGTTTTTTTATTTTTTTGAGTATTTTTGTTTTTGGTTTTTTGCCAGCTCATGCATTTATGTTTTACTATATCCATTTTGTTTTCACTTTTATTATTCCCCTTGGAATAAACATGACAAATTGAGAGGAAAGTGGATTCTTCTAGTTTGGCTGTTTTGACTTGGCCACATTTATTACTTTTACTTTGGCTCTACATGGAGCATAAGAAGGCTACCTAGTACCTAATACATGTTTTTGAAGTGCACATGGACAACTCTGGAAAACAGGAAATCTGCTTATAGATCTTGACTGGCAATTCTCACAAATGACGGGCTGGGATTTTGCTTGTTTTATTTGTTTTTTGTTTTGGTTGTTGTAGTGGCTGATGTTTGGTGCGCCACAGTAAGTTACATTTCCATTGTACAGTGATGGCACAGGTTTCCAATATGTACTGTGTTTGAGAAAATGTATTTAAGTAGATGTGCATTTTTCATAGTAGTTTTAATGGCAATACTCTTTGAAAATTGATTGGTTTGGCTTAGGGTAACCATTATCTTATGAAATTATATTACATGAATCTAGTACTACATTCTAAATGAAACTGTCTACTGTATTCTAAGTTATACAAAACATTTATTAAAATCAGTGCCTGTGGTTAATACAAAGTAATTGAAAGGAAGTAGTTCCTTTTGTTTATGAATACAAGTCAAAGAAAGAAAAATATATTTCATTTTTAGATTATATAAATGGTGGAGAACTTTTTACTCATCTTTCTCAAAGAGAGCGTTTCACAGAGCACGAGGTGCAGATCTATGTTGGAGAGATTGTGCTTGCCCTCGAACATCTGCACAAGGTAAGACGCTTCGTCTCCGGAGTTTCCTCTTTAGGCGACCTTAACTGCGGTGCTGATGGAGCTTAGCTTTCACGTGTCATTGTCTTGGTGCGGGGTGTGACAGCACACTTCCAGAGTACTTACCAGTTTTCTCAGTTGAAACTGAAAAATCTCCTTTCCTATTATAGTTGCTGTGATGCAGATCAAAATGGTAGAACCTGAGCAGTTTTTTTTTGGCTTTCTGCATGAAAAGACCTAGTGTTTCATGTAGTATAAAGTATCACTAGAGTAAAAGCTTTTAATTCCTAAAGGAACATATACAAGGAAGCCACAAGTCATAATACATACTTACTTAATTGTGACATTTCATTGCAGGCTCTGCCTGTATTTCATCACGGTGTTTCCCGATTATATTAGAGAATAAGAGTTATTTTTCACTCTCACACTGGCTTTCTTTTCCATTTATTTTGTCCTTGAAACTCTATTATTCCTACCTCTGCCTTCCTCCTCCATTTTCTCCCTAGAGCAATGAAGCAATTCCTTTAAATGGAATTCATGTTCGTGGCCCCGCTTGAATTCTGTACAAATCAGTTTGAGGTTTTAAAATATTGTTGCAGGTGCTCTTAATCTTGATCAGTGATATTATGACTTCATTTTTAAAATTTAATGAAGAAGCATTATCATAGAACCAGAGTTATTATGTAACCTGAGCTTATATGTTTTCCTTAGAGACAGGAGGTACTAAAGTACTTTGTACCAAAGGTATGTGAAGTCACGTGACTTGCTTTCTGTATGTTACAGTAATACCGGTACCTTATGAAGCCATTCTTTGTCGTGTCGCATCCTACCCTGGCTTAGGATAAACAGAGTTGAAAGTGCTGATTATAGAGTGCAAAAAAGGAGGAGGGAGTTGGAGAGGAAAAGTAAGAAGAGGGAGAAAGGTTTTGAAGGGCCAGGGAGGTCCCAACATCAAGATAGAAGCCATAGATGTAAAAGGCTGTGAGGAAAGGTTCTGGGAAGATACAACTCAGAAACAGGACTGCTTAGATGGAGAGAGGATTCAGTACAGGAATCTGAAGAAGAGTGAATGAAAATGTGTGAGAACAGGGTACAAGGGAGCCGACAGCTGGCGCACTGCTGCAAGGCTGTGGCGAGAAAGGGGCAGAGGAGCCGTAACGTACTAGTGGAACTGAAGTCATGAGGCAGATGGGGACTTCCTTGGATAGAATTTTCAGTGTGGTAACGAGCTTTATGCTTATACCTGGGAGTGTTTTTGCAGGATATAAAGTAGTTAGGATGTCTTTATATAAGAAACAAACTGGAGCCAGAAATGGGCTGTCAAGACCTTTGAAATTTATGATTAACGTTCTATAATATTAAAATGATGGTAGAATTCATCATAAATCCCAGAGTAAAAACAAAGCACAAAGCCCCAATGGGAAAACTAGAAAATTCACTTTTAACTTATGTGTTTAATTTTGTTCATTCTTTTCATTAAATGAAAATCATGAATATTTATTATTAAACAGTAGTAAGAAACAAGTAAATAGAGAACCTAATGAATACCAGATGTAACTGTTATTGGTATGAATTGAAAGTGACATAGCAAATCAAATAGATCTCAGTTAACTTTCTCAGTAACCCTAAAAAAGACATATAATACAAAACCAGCAATATTAACCTTAATGTAGATACTAACACTGGGTTTCACAGGAAGAGACAAAAATAGGAGTTTACTTGGAAGTAGTGAGGTAAAACATACACTAAATTATTTGTTCCTACAAATCTTTTCTAAAGAGGTCATTAAGAAGTGAAAGTGCTATTGGTTGTTAGATGTGTGTGATGCTTTAAGTCAAATATCTGTTCAGTATACACTCAAGATGTTTTCGTTCCTATTCTTATAAAACACTGAAATCGTGGAAGAAAATTAGCGAGTATTTTTCTTTGAGTAATTTTTATTTCAACTCTGAGAGGTTATTAAGAATCTGCTATTTAATATAGTGTTGAGAAAAGCAATATTTCTAAGTTTAAAAGCCTTTAATCCAGGCTACAATAACTATAAACATGGTGTGGGAAACTCGTGTAGATTAAGCACCTCATAAAGAATTTAAATAGATTTACTTATCTAATTGAAGGAATAGTTGAAGTGTTTTCCTATAAAACTTACGTGCAAGACAAAGCAGAGATACACAGTCATGCGCCACCATTTGACAGACTACATGTACAGCAGTGGTGGCGTAAGATTTTAATGGAGCTAAAAACTTCCTATCACTTGGGGATGTCAAGCTGTCATAATACATTACTCACGTGTTTATTGTGATGCTGGTATAAATATACCTGCTGCATTGCCAAAGTATAGCACACACAGTTATGTACAGTACAGTAATACTTCAGTAAATGACTGTTTCTGGTTTATGTATTTAATATACTTTTGACTATTATTTGGAGTACATTCTTATACTTATTTTTAAAAGGTGGGTTTACTGTAACATAGAATGCCATGTTAACACCAGCAGTAGCTTCATGCATCTGTATTTACTGTGTAATCATTTTCTCTTGTGCTTGATTTATCTTGTTTTGTTCATCATAGCCCTAGGAGCAACAGCCTATTATACATATATATATACTTTTATATATTATATATACCTTGTATATGGTGTATACACACACACCCCATAGAACCTAGGTGTATTGTAGGCTATACCATGTAGGTTTGTGTAAGCACACTCTGTGTTTACATGATCACAGAAAAACCTGACAACATATACTCCCCACATATCCCTGTCATTAAGCATCACATGACTGTATACATTTTATTTAATTGATTTGCTTTGGTTATTTAGAACTAAAGGTAAACTAAAATTAATCTATGATCTTTAATCTTTATATTTAAGAGCCTGCTATTCAACAAGCCTTTATTAATTGCCTGTTTGACACATGGCATTGTGCTAGATACTGGATAAATGTTTAAAAAGTGAGAAATAGAATTAGCACATGAGTATATCAAGACAAAGAGGAAATACTTAGAAAATATTAGTCACTTATAGGCAAGTACAATGTAAGCATAGATGCTATAGGATGAAAAACAAGGAAAGGACCAGCATGGGACCTGGTTAGTTAGCAAAGATTTCTGAAGCCCTTAGGAAGTAATGGATAAGAATTGGCTAAGAAGACACCTGAAGATCATCTGGAGTGAGCTTATTTCACGCTTACTCTAGAGAAGTAAGGAAAAGCATTAGCCAAAAGGGAAGCCCTAAAGAACTGGTCTGACAAAGGTAGACCCTTGTTACAAATAAAATGAAGGCATGATTGAAGAGCTCCACCCAGCAAATAAGCCCTGAGATGGAGAAATTTGCATTTGCCCTAACAGTCACTAAGAGCCATAGAATGAGGAGGGAAATACCTTTAAAAAATGAGAAGAAGCAGATAAGAAAGACTGTCCAAATTTGTTTTTGGAAACTGTTTTAAAATGCCTATTTGTTTGTTTTCACAGTTGGGAATTATATACCGTGACATTAAGCTTGAGAATATTCTACTTGATTCTAACGGTCATGTGGTGCTGACAGATTTTGGTCTGAGTAAAGAGTTTGTGGCTGATGAAGTGAGTATTATATTTTAATTTGAAATTAGTAATAGCAGAATGTGAATAAGGGTGAAAATTAGCCATAGAATAAACATTTAAAAGGGCAGTACCAAATGAATTATGGACTATTGTGCAAATTTGTTCAAAGGAACATTTTAACATGAGTAAATGTAAAGATTTCTAGCTTAATACTACCGTGGAACTATCCTGTTAAAATTGCAGTAAATCTTTCATGAATATGTCAGAATTCTCCAGTTTAGAAACAAAACAAATATGTTCTCAACTGACTCTGGAAAATATATAAAGTATGGCTTAAATGGGGACCAGTAAAGAATCAGGGCACGTATCATTTACACTATAGTTTTAAGGGACATGCTGTGATAGCCCTTTGAATTCATTTCATAAGAATGACAAGGATCTACTAATTCTTCAATAATCTTTCTGAGTTTTATACTTAAAATGAACTAAAACATAGTAGCTAATGTGCAGATTTTAGCTATGGAAGGCTTTATATTTTCAGTGTTAATTATAATGTATTAATATTACAAATGCATTTAATTACATGTAAAGTTGTATATCTGTTAGCTATAATTCAATATTCATGTCACAATCATAATAAAAGTTTTATTTTTGTAACTAAAATAAGTGAATTTGAGTATCAGTTTTGATTTTTATCTAGGAAATTTCTGGTGTAAACACAGAATCGTAGTAAAATTAGTATGATGAAGGCCTTTGTTGTGTAAAGCACATCATTCTTGAGTTCCAAATTAGGTTCAGATTGAGCATCCCTAATCTGAAAATTCAAAACCCAATACATTTTGAGCATTGATATAACTCCCCAGATGAAAATTTCATAGACCACAGTAAAACACACTCATGCAACACAAAATATATTTAGTACCCCCAAGAGACAAAAATATAAAATATAGTTAGTACCCCCAAGAGACAAAAATATAAAATATATTTAGTACCCCCAGGAGACAGAATGCCCTTCTTAGCTCACCTGGATATATATTTTTCACACACACTCAGATTCCCACCAGACGCCCTCCACCCACAGAGGTTAATAAAATGACATGTACGCAGGTGCCGAGTGCCAAGGGCAGGTCCTCCAAAATGACCCGCATGGGGCCAAGGCCTATAAGCATTATTCATTATGTATTTTTGCTTATTCTCTGCTCTGTACTGTAAAGATACTTTTGAAAATGTTAAAAGGGGTTGCAGGTGCTCTCATGGGTAAGAGTGATGAGAAAAAGCAAACGCAGTTGCGATTATCTCTAGCACAAAAAGTCAAGCTGTTGGAAAAACTGAGCACCAGTGTAAGTGTGAAATGTCTTACAGAAGAAAATGGCTTTGGAATGACCATCATAGATGATCTGAAGAAACAGAAGGGTAAACTGTTGAAATTCTGTGCTGAAAATGATGAACAGAAGTTAATAAAAGATAGAAAAATGCTGCATAAAGTCAAAATGAAGATCTCAATTGTGTATCAAAAGAGTAGATCTATCAGCATCGCCGTGAACACATGCCATTTAATGGGATGCTAATTATGAAGCAAAGATCCATTGTGAAAAAAAAGATCTATTGCGATGAACTAAAAATGAAAGGTAATTGAATATTCAACAAGCTAGTTGGAGAAATTTAAGAAAAGGCACATTACATTTTTAAAGATCTATGGTGATAAATCTGCTAAAATGAAACAGGAAAGAAGTACATTGGCAAGTTTACCAAGGTCATCACTGAAGAAAATATGACACCAGCACAAGTCTGTGACACTGATGAAATGTCACTGATTGGGCATCGTTGCCTAGAAAGATGCTGGCTGCAGCTGATGAGATAGCCCCTCCAGGAATTAAGGGTGCTGAAGACAGAATAGTTATTCTGGGATGTGCTACTGCAACAGGCTAATGCATTGTAAACTTGGTGTGATAGGCAAAAGCTTGTGTCCCCAGTGTTTTAAAGGAACGGATTTCTTATCGGTCTGTTATTATGTTAACAAAAAGACATGATCACCAGGGACCTCTTTCTAAAGTAGTCCATATTTTATAGCAGCAGCTCATGCTGCTGCATCAAAACTGGACTGGGTGAAGAACCTGCAAGGTTTTGTTTTTTCTCAGTAGCTGTTATGCTTATGCTCCAGCTGAAGTTCTCATCAAGAATAATATTTATGCATATACTTTCCCCAAGTGTAACTGTTAATTCAGCCACGTAACTGCAGAACACTTAGAACACTGAAGATAAACATAAAAACACTGTCTTGAACAGCATGCTCGCAGCAGTGAACAGAGGCCTGCTTGTGGAAGGTTTTCAACAGGAGTTTAGCATGATGAATGCTGTATATGCGGTTGCCTGCGCTTAGGACTAAAGATGTAGGTGTGTGCCTCCTGGCACAACTTCTGACCTATGGCTGTATTGGGTGATGATGATGAACAAAGTGCTGACTTTGAGGATTCTGTATGTCAAGTGTAAGGATGTCTGACATGCTTACATAAGCAAAAAATGTACCTTTACAATCTGATTGTAAACGGGAAGAACTAGATATCAAGGAAGTTTTTAACATTGATAATAAGGCTCTACTTGTCCATTGACCAATGGTGAAATAATATTAAGTTCTGAATCAGGGGACCATGATAATAATGATGATAAAGATGTCATTCTTAAACTGAAGATGTGACTTTAGGCAGCATGGTGAAAATATATGATAGGCTTATTGATGGGCTTGAGCATTGTGCATGCACAACAGAACAAGAAGTCATGTCACCTTATGAGAGACTTCTAAGGCAAGGACCATTGTTAAGGAGACAGGTAATTCTGGAGGACCAGTTTATCCCTAGCCCCTCAGTTCTGGAGGACCACCGGTTCCCTGGCCCCTCAGCTGCTTCTGATGTATCTTCTTACCAAGAAATAAAATGCAGTGTTCAGTAGCCTTTAAATCAAGATGCAGCATTGCAGATGGCGACTGAACCTGTGCTGTTCGTTGTTGCTGGTGTTTAGCAGCTGACACGGGTTCTGCCGATACCACAGTGCTGCTTGGTTACCATGAACACAGGCCCTTTCACAGCAGTGATGTCGAGTCATATTTTTAATGTTAAACATTATATGTGAGTAAGTATAAGAAAATTATTGTCTATCAGTTGCATATACATTTTTAGTAGGAATGATGTGATGCCAGACAGCCACAGATTGTCCATGTGAATGCTGAGTGACAGCTTTGCTTTCTGATGCTTCATTGTACACAAATTTAGGTATCATGTGCACAGTTATTTGAAACACTGTATAAGGTTACATTCAGGCCATGTGTATACGGTGTGTATAAAATGTAAGTGAATTGCCTGTTTAGACTTGGGTCTCATCCTCAAGATACTGCATCATGTGTAAATATTCCAAAACCTGAAAAAAGTGAAATCTTAAATACTTCTGGTCCTGAGCATTTTGGGTAAGGGACAATCAGTCTGTATAGTGTACTTCTGGTTGCCTTTGGGAATATTGCCAAAGCAATCCTAAGTGAATGGAATTAGTAGTAAAATTATAAAAATTAAAGAACCTAATTTTTATTGTGTCTATATTTATTCAGTAAATATTTATTGATCACCTACCTGTACTGTATTATATAGTACAATATACATAAAATAGAAATGATCTCCACCATTGTGAAGCTGGCATTATAATAATAAATTGATTATCTTTGATAGAAAATTATAGGGGCCGAGGATATAGCTCAGTGGCACAGTGCCTGCCTCGCAAGCACAAGGTCCTGAGTTTCTTAGTCCCCAAAAAAAGAAAAGAAAATTATAGTTATAAAAGTCATTAGGTGAATTTTAAGGAATTCAATTCCAAGATTGGTTTTTAAAAATTTTACTCTTTTGTAAAAAATTTAGTGATGACTTCAGTAAAATGTAACAGATTTACATGTTTACTTTTGCTCCCTCACTAAACTCCACAAACGTAAAAATAAAAAGGTAAAATAGGCATACACTGAAAAGGGAAAGAAGAGTATAACAACCACATTTTGGTAGATGGGCAGCAGAGAGCATTGTGGTGAGCTATTTGACATCTCTAAAACAGCTGAATCCTAAACCAGTAAGGTGAGAAAGCTACAAACCATTTCAACTTCTGACTCCCCAAAAAGGTTCAGGAACTGGGCACCAGATACTACCTAAAATACAAGTACAGGGAGTTCAGGGCCAGAGGATTGGTTGGAAGTCTACATGAGAAAGAGGTAGTGTGCAGATGCCATCTCTGCCCCCTCTGTATTCCCTTGGGAAGCTGTGCCTTCTTGGCTCTGAGTTCGGGGACAAAGGGCACAGCTGAGGATGAGGATAGCAGATGGAGAATAGCAAGGAAAGTGAAAAATGACACACAGAACTGGACAACTTCCATGATCTCCTTCTTCCACCTCGCTCTGAGCACAGTGATGCCCCTCACAGTGCAGAGGATTCCTGTCTGAGAAACCAGGGCCCAACATCAGTAGATGCTGTCGGCTCTGGGTTTTGAAAGTAAACCAGCCCAAACAGATCTCCTTGCAGAGCAGTCTGTGACTTGACAGGCTCAGTCTGTGCCACAGAAACATGATTGTGGTGATGTGATGATTTTTTCATATTTTTGTAAGGACATTACAGTTAGTTTCTGCTATATTAGTATATTTTAAAAAACATCTGAGGAGTACACAGGCTTAAAAAGATTGCCAGATTCCCTGGCATGTACAGTATAGAGCTCACACAGAGAGAATCGGTGGTCATATTTTTCTCTTTCTGTGGAACCATTCATTCATTTGCTCATTCCCTGTATTGTTTGTTGAAGGCCTTCTATGTGCTGGATGTTAGGCTAGTAATACAACAATAAAAGAATCACTTAAAGAACATATATAGGCTGATTATTCAATGATAGAGAAAAACAGACCTTGGCCCTGGAGAAAACCAAAATGGTAGCACTCTTATCATGGTCATAGTTCTCATTTCTGGGACACAGTACCCAACACCCACAACTAAAAGGAGAAGAGATTTATTTTGGCTCACATT